CATAACAGTTACAATAAGGTAGGTTTACTATTTTCAAGGAATTATTTCGTTACTTTTTAGTGCACTGTTTTTTTGAGAATATTTTGTTTTTGGTGTATTTTGTTTTGTTTTTAGTGCATTTTGTTTTGTTTTTAGTGTATTTTGTTTTTGTGTGTATTGAAGTAACTCAAAATTTACTGAGCCGATTTCAAAAATTCTTCCACCATTAAACAGCTGTTTTTTTATTTTCACGTAGACGAAGTCGCGTGCAACAGCGTTCATATATTCAATTTAAGAAACTCCAAAAATTAGCTACTTTTTCTTTAAAAACTTATGTTTTTACGTATTTCTTTTCTTAAAAATCATATTTTCTAATCGAACAAAGAGACTTCAGTAGTTGATCTACGAATGAGACAGCTTTTCATCCGTCCCTTTCTGATAAAAAGGGCTAGAATTATGACGCAATGATATCCTGAACATTGCATCCGATTTCAAAAGGTACATTCAATCTTAAGACTGAAGGAATAAAGTACAATATCAAATGCAACGAATATTGGGATGACGAAATCGTTGCCGAATTATAGACGAAGAGACAGTGATTTCTACATTCACTTTATTTAATCTAGTTTTAAATGCGCTATTTTTACATGAATTATACTTAAATCTATAAGACTTGTATTTTTGCATGTATTAAATTGACTCAAAAACTACAGGGCCGATTATAAAAATCCTTTCACCATTAGCTATAAGTAACATAGGCCATATTTTTATTGCTTTTTTTTTTAATTTCACGCGGATAAAATCGCGAGAAACAGCTAATCAATTTATAAAAAGAAAAACTGGGAACAAGTAGATCAAACCGTGACTAAAAACAAAGACATTATTATTTTAATCCAATTAAATTTATTACTGTGGTGTGTACAGGTTACGGCGTTTACAGGTTTTAACCTGTTTAAAGTAACAACACACCATATTGTTGTTAAAGATGTTTATTTTGAACGAAAACGATAAGTTTAAAATTTACGTCAACAATCGGCATGTCTACGTTACAATTAAAAGAGTGCGGTCTGAGGTCTGAAAGGCTTACAGATAAAACTTACTCTCCAAATACCCTGAACATAGATTAAAACGGCCATGTACTACTAATATATAATATTAAACCGTTAAAGACATAAGGGTATCATTTATTCACACAGGGCAAAGTACTAAGCGCTTACTCATTGTTTTAATGTCAAGGGAAGGTGAAATTACAATAATTATATAAGTTGTGTTGCCAGTAACGACTGCTGTATGACTCATATGCAGGTTTCTTTTATTATCTTCACATTCAAGCTTGTTATATCTTTATCTGATTCTAGGTCTTTCGTTGTACATAATAATAAGGAAGCAGATTATAATTGTTAAATATGCCTTTTAATTCGGATTAAGCGTTGTTATTAACGCTGTTGCTCGCGATTTCGCCCGCGAGAAATCAAAAAAATAATTAAAACTCAGCCTGTGTTACTCACAGATAATGTAGCCTTTGGTGAAAGAGTTTTTGAAATCGGCCCAGTAAATAGTAATGTTTTTTAAAATAGTAAATTGTAGTTCATAATAATTGACTAGCTCTTATTCTATAACGTTCTAACCCTTCACTGCTGAATAGAATTAGTAGATTTATTTTATTTATGCGTCGCTCTGGCCGGCCCGTCACGACGTGGGTTGAATATACAGCTATAACTTTTATCTGATACTTTGAGTTTTAAGAGACAGGACCTGTAAGCACATTCACTCCTTCGTATTAAACAAACGAACAACATGTTTTCGACGTACTTTTTTGTGTGAGTAAATTTTTGAGTTATAATGCGTTTATATATGTCATCCTAGGTCTTTCGATCCCTACTAAAGTGTCTGAATGTTTATAACACTGGCAGTCTATGCTTAGTCCATTTTTAAATGATCAAAGTAAGATGGACACGACCCGAAGATAACGTTTCGGGCTTTTTACTCTTCTTACGAGTTATGATGGCCCTTTGGTTATTTTATTTGGGGAATAACTTGTGTAGGCGATTGGTAATGGACTAGGAGTTAACATTCGATCGCTAATGCTTTCACACGAGGACAGAAGAATGATATACAACAGTGACTGTACTGTAATTATTTTGATGTACCGTGTACTTTGTCGATTGTACTTCCCTCGTGTGAAAGTGATGCTGTTAAAAGTAGGCGTCAGTGTTGTTCATGATGCAATCGATGCTTTATTTATTGTACAGTTAAATGTTTATTTGTGATGTTATTGGTGTTAGATAAATAAAAAATGATTATCACATAATTTGAAACGGACTCTACTGAGTTTACGTAACTACTGTTATTTTGTACTAGCTGTGCCTTACTGTTTTCCCTGCATTTTACAATATGACGTGAGTTTATTAAAATATTTATATGAAACAAACATGTCTAAGGGCCTGTCCCACCACTGGCTGATAGAGGCCCAGCTTAAAACGTCACTGACAGATAAGGTAACAAAATCCGATATTCCCAGCACATATTTCAAACGTTGGATTGATCAGACCATTTACAATTTGGTGCGGCAGGCCCTAAGACTTTTTCTAGTATAATGATAGAGATGTCGGCATAAAAAATATGCAATCATTAGAAAAAGTTGATTTATTAAAAAAACATTCCCAATACTTTTTTTATATCTTATCTACATCTATACTATTATAATAAAGCGTAAACACACACTTCTTTGTTACCTAAGATGTCAGCAATTACAGCATATTTCTGAATAATTCTTTTTGTAATAAAAAGCCCTAAACTTACGTTACGCTTTAGGCTACATATTTTCACGCTGTTAAACTTAGGGGTAAATATTTTGAATAAAAACTCTAATGTGAGAAAGAGACCATAAGTTGTTGCCAACATCAAGGAAGCAAGGTTGCCATGGATTGACATCATGTCATTTTGACATTTGCAATTGATAATTTAGCATATGTGAACAATAAAATTTAATTTTTATAATTTTATGCGGATGAAGTCGCATGGCAACAGATAGTCTATAACAAATGTGTATTTTTATATTTCATATTCATGTATTACTCAGTAAGCAACTGTTATTCAAAAATAATTACCATTTTAACCAACAAAAGCTATTATTAATATGTGTAATTAATTTTGTCCACATATAACTGTTTTACCTGCTGGTGCAAAACCCTTGTGAAAATTACATTGGGGTCCAGTTCCCAGCTGGGGGATGAGGTCACAACCTGCTCTACCTGCTCCCTTACAGGTATAAAGGACCTTATGTTTTGTTAAAAAAATGTTTCCTGAATTATACGACATGTCTTTATAATTCCGTAGTAAATTATAATTATTTACATTATAAAGATCATACTAATGTTTTAATTAAAGTTTGCATTAATAATTGTAATGCGCGGTTCACACCTGGCCATTACAGTCGGCCAGTAGTATAATGGATTAATATTCAACGGGCATAATGTAAACACTTGGCGCTAGGGAATATGATCTATGACTGGCCTTCACAAGTATCTAACTGTATTGGCCAAGTGTATACCAGATTATGTCTACTTCGAATTAGTCTATGTAGTCCAGTAAAGAGTAATTAAGTTGCTAAAATATTCTCCAATTCGAATAAATATTTGTTGTTCATATACTTATTATTTACTAAATTACTTGCTTCTCAATTAAATTACCAGCCTAGTATGAACTAGGGATTATTTACCACGTAATATTAAAGATGAATATAGTGTCAAATAAATATAAATGCCAGTAGCCACACGCTTGTATACAATCTGGGATGTGTAATCTAAAAGCGTGTATCATTTCATACTGGCACGTCAGTTTTGCATGCAAATAGCTAGAATGATATTTGGTTTTGTGTTTATGAAGGCCGATTGGGGTACGAAGATTAACACAGGCACATCTCATCGTATAATCTTGTAAACATTTTACTGGCATGTGTGTACAAACCAGTAGTCGGGCGCCAGTAACTTGCATGCTAGCTTATACTTTGCACTAGGATATGTGTTCCCGCCCTAACGCAATTTAAGTCAGTATCGTTTCGCTCGCTCTTACGAGCGGACGTCTACGATGCCGAAGTGCTCTTTTAAATTTTGTAAAAATTTGAAGCCAACGAATCCTAAAAACGACGCCATAGTATACTTTCGGTGAGTTTTACTGTTAAATTGATGCAATAATAGTTATTATGCATGGTGTATTTACATTTTTTTCTTTGAAATATTTTTTAAATGTAATTCATGTGTATTCTGGGCATGTCCATTCATTTACCTTAGTTAAATATGGTTGGTACTTTTGTAACTTCTGTCTTCTTTTTATTTAAAATGTGAAACTCAACATTTAACTACTTTAACTCTTCAATTTATTGTTAAAAAAACGTTCTTGTGATATATTAATATTTGAATTGATTATAGTTTTCCAAGTCGTCTAATTCGTCGAGAGAAATGGATAGAAGTAACACGGCGACAGAGAAAGGAACCCTGTTTTGAACCGAACACAGGAAGCCTCGTTTGTTCCAAACATTTCGATAAAAGTGATATGTACACCACGGATAAGGGTAAATTACGTCTCCGAGACACAGCTGTTCCTATTATAGTAAGTAATTCATATTCATGAATAGAAAACTAGCTGTTGCCCGCGATTTCGTCCACGCAATATTAAGATAAAAGTAGCCTATAGTATGCCCGTCTATGTCAGCTACCCTACAGTGAAAGTCCGGTCGACATCGGTCCAGCCGTTTCGGAGATTATTCGGAACAAACGCGGCTTGCGTACCGACAGACAGACAAGCAGACAAAAAAAATTAAATGCGATTTTCGTTTTCAGCAACGCAAATGCATCATCTTCCTGAAATCTAGAATATTTCTTTTGATATTACAAACAGACAGTCCAATTTTATTACTCGTATAGATAGATACGCACTGTAAGGCCGGGATTACATACCAGTAACCAGAACGTGGCGGTAAAAATTACTAAATTGTACGATATTACATATGTAGAGGGGGTATTTTAATATTCCAACTCTATGACAGCTCGACGTTTGTCGTAAAGAACAGAAAGATGCTCTAAATGTAAAGCTTCTTATAAGATATTCCGAGCCAATATAAAGTTTGTAATGTCCTATACTGTTCAAATGTTTTACAAGCCTTGTCTATTAAATTTTGTTTCCTATACATCATTGACTTTTTTCAGGATACGGTGAATTTGAACGCAAGCATTGTAGAAGATAAATGTGAAGTAGACGATAGCTTTCTAACAAGCGAAGTTATATCAAAGCCTAGCAATGACCTCGTCTATCAATATTCAATTAAAACTAATGAAAGTAACGAAGAAATTAGTACAAAAATGAAAATAAATACATCTGAATTAGATATACAATTTGATGAAAGTAATACGAAGTGTTCTTACGAGAATCCTTTCTTACCAAGTACTAGTAGTGAAAGTAGTGACGATTCTGAAGATATTGGCAAAATAATAAAAATAGAAATTGAGGAATCATCAGATAATTCTGATGAAAATGAGATCGAATCCATTGATGATAGAATTGAAGCGGATATTGTAAGAACGCTTGATTTCGACAAATTTGGTGAACATGTAGCCGCCATGTTGAAAAGAATACCAGTACACAAAGCATTGCAATTGCAGCCGAGGATTCTCGAGTTGATCACCTCGGTGATGAACGAGGACCAAACAAAGATAATAACAATTAAAGATAAACTCTTTGATGAACATAACTAAATTGTTTCATCATCACTGTTTTATAGTAATCCAAACACAGTTATTAAGTGGTCGCAAGCAATCTATCTATATCTAAGGGACGTGTTTAGTGGCTATTTAACGTCTCTGTGTGGTATTTAATGTTAAAATTATGTTATTCTTGGAATAAAATGTATTGCATTTTAATTTTAAAGATGCCTTTTTTGATTTCTTCTTTAACTAACATTACTGTACGGTTTTGTTTACCAAATATAATAATAACTACCAGTACGGAATAATTAGATGTATCGTTTTACGTATGAATAATATTTATGCATCTTGTAAAAGACATTTTTTATAACCTCTGCTTTCAATAACCTGCTAAAAATAAATTACTTTTAATCATAATGTAGCCGTAATGCATTAAATTCGGATGGTGTTTGTATCAACAATACACAGATTGTCTCTCTCGCTCTTGCTAACGAACGTAACTGAAGTGAGCAGTGACATGGCCGTCGGATCAATAAATACTTTGTACGATGCCTTGCTTCTAAAATGGAGATGAATTTGCGATATCATAATGTAATATAACTATAGTGTTTTGTATACAGCTGATAGATGAATAAACACGATTACATTTTGAGAAAATATTTTAAAATTCGCTCCGCTTTCGTTGTAAATGCGTAACAAAGCGACCATTTCGACTCCGTTCCGTCAGTACCGTTCCGCATCGCAAGCAGTCATCGCGTGTCCTCGATTACAAATGGAACTCGAGACGATTAAAAAGTACATAAACATTATGCGTAAATATCCAGAAATATACGCAGTTGGTGACTCGGATTATAGCAATATGTATAAAAAGGAAATTGCGTGGAAGAAAATCAAACAGAAAATGGGGATGGACGGTGAGAATTAGCATTATATTGTAGTCATTTTGTTCGTTTATTTACATATTTTGTAACGAACAATCTATTCAGAATTAATAATGCGCTGTCGTCAACTGTCTACCCGGCATTGCCTCGTCTCGACGTATGCAGCCTCGATTATGTGCACTACGAATTGCGAGTTAACATTAACCATACTAATTATTGCCTGCGATTTAGTTTACGTAATTAAAATAGCGTATGTTATTCAGCGATAACATAGCTTTTTAATGTTTCAAGAATTTTTGAAATCGGCCCAGTAGTTTTTGAGTTATTTTAATACAAACAAAAATACAAATTTTTCCTCTTTATAATATTAGTATTGGACCGAATGTTTTAAATTGAAAGTGTGTGTGTATGTTGTGCATGTATTAGTTGCTATATAAACTAAAGTAATTCTTAGTAAAAACTATTTTTGTTTCAGTTAAAAAATTAAAGGTGAAATGGAGAAATCTAAGGGATACATATATTAAACATAAAAAATGTCGTCTATCAGACAACAAGGGACCAAACACCCTGTACAACTGGGTGTGGGCGAAAGAAATGTCATTTGTGGAACCGTATATAAAATTAAGAACAAAAAAAATTTCAGCATACATCGATATTCATTCTGATTCCGATATAAATGATACAGGGGACGAAAATGAAGATAACGACACCAAAAATGTCCAAGACCCTGAACTTTTAACGGAAAAAAACAAAAAACATCCAATCAAAAGAGAACAAGAAAGCGACGATACAATAAACAATATAATAACAAACATAAATACAGAAGTAAACACAGAAAGGAATACACAAGCAACCGTACCTGTGCCATGTGACAGAACAGATATGGAGTTTCTAGGTTATGCCAGTACAGTAAAAAGACTGTCTTTACGTAATCAAGCGCTTGTTAAACTTCAAATAACAAGGATACTAACACGATATCAACTGCAAGAATTAAGTCATCATTTATGTGATGATCGAACTTAGAATACAACTACGCGAATGTCAGACCTAAATCCAACCAAATACAATTTTCTAAGACATACAAACGTATTTAACAAACATAATATAAATCTTAAAGTACTTGGTTTTTTACTAAAATACAATTTTTAAGTGCACATTGACTGAACTATCATACACTGTTAAGACTCGCTTCGATTCCTACGAGCTTGTATGGAGGTGCGCTACTCGATTAGTTGTGCAAAAACAAATTGGCTGCAAAACAATCGACAGTCGCACAACTGTTGTGTCAAAGGTGAATAAAAACTGACACTTGAACCACGGACGCTCTTATAATGGCTATTCAATATTACTAGTAATAAAATTTACTTTATTATCAGCTCTATTTGCTAGTTTTTATTTGATTAGCAAAGCAATATAAAGTTTGATTTTTAATTTTCAACGCGCACGAAGTCGTGGGCAACAGGTTGTAGTTACTTGATAAATAAAATTAAGAAATTAATAAAACATTTCATTAAAAATTATTGTTTTTTTTTTCATTATTATGATTGTTTCACTTTCAAAAAAAAAATTAAAAAAAAACACTGTGTGTAAGAAAAAATTTATATCAATACTAAAACTATTTTTTTTTTGTTAAAAAAAAAATTAGAGCTACAATAAACGACTCTCTTTGCTTAAACTAGATGGCGCTGTTTCCAATATTAAAAATGTAACCATTCTTTTGTTTGGAAATTATTTAAAAATAATGTAATTCACTTTAGGAATTTGATACCTTTGCAAATGTTCAGTTTAATTTTATGTATTGTAGAAGCTAACTTAGTTGACTTACTTAGTAGTCAGTTCTCCCTGACTGTATTCTACATTTGTGACAAATATCATCGAGATCCGAGCCGTTCTGGAGATACCTGGTAAATAGTTTTGTAGATTGTAGCCTAAACGGCAGAACATATCTTGATGAAATTTGGCATATATATGGAGGATAGTCTGGAAGAACACATAAGCTACTTACTTTTGTTTTTTTTAATACCACGCGGACGAAGTCCCGAGCGAAAGCTAGTATTAATATTAAAACGTCAAACAGCGCGTTAAACTTAAAACTCTAATGCAGAAGAAGAAGACAAAAGCGAGACAGCGATATAGAGAAACGTCACGGCTTCGCAAAACAAAAGCGATTCGCTTTTATGTTCGCTGTTTGACCGCTACTGTTAAGCGGGAATGGAATTCGCTTCGCTTTGTGTTCGATCGCAGAGCAACGCGTTAGTAGCGTTTCGCGTCGCATACAGTCACCGCGTGTTCCTCCGCTATGGATAAATTTCGCGTCTTGAAACCGGAAACGATAAAATTACTTATAGATGTTGTTCGTAATTACCCGGAAATATACGCATCTGGACATATAGATTATAGAAATGGGTATAAAAAAGAAATGGCGTGGAAGAAAATTAAAGAAAAGATGGGAATGGATGGTAAGATATTTTTATAGTTATGTTTTTATTTGTATTTCAGATTATTTACATAGTTTTAGAGCTATCTATTCAAAAGTAATCAAATGAATGCTTCGTTTACTGTGTATTGTTTCGAAAGATTCATATATGTGTGTGTGCGTGTGCTCACAAGTGGAGAGCCCAGACTATTTCGCTTTGATATATTTTACAATGAAATGAATTGATGTTTTTTTATTTTGATATTATTTATAGGTATGTTGGATACTTAATAGTAATAGACGTTAATTCTAACTTGTGATTATATTATAAGTACCTTTTATTGCAAAATATAGACAGAGAATGTTATGTCTTTTAGTTGATTTGCAGATTGCATTGATTTATGGGTTTTCACTGACGAATTGGTACAAAAGCATGTTGTTATATTTCTATATAAATATTTCTCCATTGAGAATTCGCTATTATAGTTCGTAATATAAATAATGTTTGCAACAAACATCTAAACCGTATATATTTTCTAATCTAAGCAGCATTTTTTTACTTTGTGTTAAATAAAACAGTAATTAGAAGAAACTGAATTAAAACTAGCTTTTAATGAATACTTTTTTACAGTCCGAACATTGAAAATCAAATGGAAAAACCTAAGGGATACTTACAGAAAGCATAAAATGTGTCGTCTATCAGGAAACAAAAGCACCAGCAATCTTTCCAACTGGGTATGGTCCGATAACATGTCCTTCATTGAACCCTACATCAAATTACGACCAACAGATACTTCTAGAATTTCTAATGATTCATCTGATACAGAAGAGAATGATACAGAAGAAGACAATGAACAAGATGAGACACAAAACGTCCAAAACCCTGAACCAGAACCAGAAAAGATATTACGTCCAGTAAAAAGAAGACGACAAGAAAGCGACGATACAATAAACAATATAATGACAAACATAAATACAGAAATAAACACAGAAAGGAATACACAAGAAGCAACCGTACCTGTGCCATGTGACAGAACTGATATGGAGTTTCTAGGTTATGCCAGTACAGTAAAAAGATTGTCTTTACGTAATCAAGCGCTTGTTAAACTTCAAATAGCAAAGATACTGACACGATATCAACTTCAAGAATTGAGCAATACTTCATTAGAAAATGGGGAGTTTATGACATCTGTGCAAATGACAGATTTACAGCCATATTTTATTGATGTGGAAAAAAAACCAGATATACAAAATTCTTCGTCATCAACTTAGATTTCAAAGAGAATGGTGTATTTCCGGGCGGATCCAGCTTTGGCGCCAGGAAGGGTCACATAGTCGTGGTTAAATCAAGAGCTTGACGAAATATGTAAATATATTTTGTCAAGGTCTTGACCTACCAGCTCAGGGGGGGAGGGTCGTGACCCCCATCCTCCCCTCCTGGATCCGCCGTTGGGTATTATAGCAAATAAATAAATTAACAAATAAGTGTTTCCTTTAATTGAAATATCCTTGTTAATAATCCTTCCTCATCAGTTTGAAACTGAAAAAACTAATAATTTCGATTGTTCAGATAAAACTATCAGGATCAAAGCGTATTTAGTAAATAAACTAATTATAAATCTTCTATACTAATATAATAAAGAGGAAAGATTAGTATTTTTGTATGTATTGAAATAACTCAAAAACTACTGGGCCGATTTTAAAAATTCTTTCACCGTTAGAAAGGTAATTTATATGTGAGTAACATAGGCTATATTTTTCATGCGGCGAAGTCGCGAGCAACAGCTAGTGATTGATAAAAGTAACTAGCATTCAAAAGCGTGGTCCGCGTGGAATTAAAAACAAAAGTGAATAGCTTATGTGTTCTTCCAAAATACTCTATATCTATGCCTTTCATCGAGATACGTTCAACATTAGACGGCAAATTTTGAATCCACCAAACTCTAGCATTATTAAAAATATTATTATTATACATATTATTATTATAAACGCCAAAGTTTAGATGTTTGTTAGAGTTTGTAACCTAAACGGTTGAACGGATCTCAGTAAAATTTGGTATAGATGTAGAGAATAGTCTGGAAGAACACATAGGCTACTTTTGTTATTATTATTCCCACCCGGACGGAGTCGCAAGCGAAAGCTAGTTAGTTTCAAACTATCTCGACGATAGTCGACCATTATTCAGGGACCAATTTGTCTGATTTACCATAAAAAGATTTTATAATTTCCCCTACACAATCCCTTTCTGGTTTCCTAATCGTTATTACGTACACACACTCTAAAAAGAGCTTTATCCTATAATAATAAGACACAGAATGCTTTGCGAATTATAACAAAGGAATACAAGGTGGAATTCATAGGGTCGTTGTTAGGTAAAATATGAAATACGTCACATCCTCGCAACCAATATCTGTACTTATTGATTTCTGTCCCTTTGCAAACCTCTGTCGTCAATTTGTAGCGTTAACTATTAGTTAATCTATGGTAGATCGTTTTTTCAGCTTTACACAAGAAAACCTTAGTTAAATCTGAATTAATTAAATTAAAAAGTAATATTATGTCTTTGAAAGATTTAATAATTAAATTCAACATAATTTCTAACCTAAATTACAATCTTTTAAACGGGTAATATGAATTTCATTGTACGAACCATTTCCTTCACCAACTTGAGCGAAATGACTTCAAGTGTTTATCTTGTAGAAGAACTTGGCTTAAAATTCGATCCAAGTATATGTTTTTAAATCACATTACGACGATACTGAGAATATATACCAGAAAGTGTTAAGAACGCATGCAGGCTACAAAGAAGACCGAAGAAACTATGAATGGATTGTGTGAAAGAGGATATGCTTAAGGTAGTGGAATCAGATATGGCTGATAGAGATGTACGTAGCACATACTGTGACGACCCTCCGTAAGGGATAAAGGCAAGTCGATGATTACGACGATGCTGTCTAAATACGATGTTAAATTTTAGAATTCCTATTCACTAAGAAACGTCATAAAGAACTTCCCAATAATAATGATAGTATGCTAACTGGAGTACTGGAGCAAGTGCTGGCGTGGATAAAACAAACGGTGCGTAAAGTTGGAAGCTAACATGGTGCCAACGTATTGCTTGTACTCGCGACATCGCTCTCTGTTCATTGCTGCGATATGAAATCGCATGCTAAAAATAACATTAACACAAAATATGACTAAGCTTTGTTACAAATGTTATATAACCTACATAAAGTACTACTTTTTAAGATAATATACATAACTTTCAAAGACTTGTTCATACTATTATACTGTTTACTTGTTAGTTTTACATTCCTATATCTCTCCATAACCTCTAATTTCTTTGTTTCAAAGCACCGTTATTAGATAATATTGTATGCCAGATCTTTCTAGAATATCCACGTATCATATTGTTGTTATAGTATAGGTGATTTTCGGATGGTTACCCGCTTCCGTCCGGGGCACACAAAGGCAACTTTCGCGAGGAATCAATCGTGCGATCTGCCGCGCCCCCCGCACCTCACTCCACACCCCTCGCCAGCGGCGTCACCCCCTCCCCCCACCCGACGACCCCCCGCCCGGCACAGCTGACGCGAACTGTTGCTATGTGCAATAGCTATCGATTGAAACGGACATCAGAACACGAAACAAAGTCATCGCTGTTCACTGATTAACGGCTTTTAATATCAGCATAACGTTATCTAAACCTTGAAACACATTAAAAATCGAATTAACGAGTAAAAGTTTATTATTACGATATATTAATTATTTCAATGTATTAAAGGTATAAAATCTATATTTAATATTCCCTGTTAGTTACAAGTAAAAGGATTTCCTTAAATACGAGCTTAAGACAAAATAATAGCAAAATATAACAAAGGCTTTTCATTCTACCAATGTTTTGTCCTCAAAACTCCACAGTGAATCCGACTGAGCCGAGCCTACGTGACCGAAGCGATGTCGCACACAGACGCAATACACACGGACACGAGGATACACGCACACTAGCGCATGCGCGGTTAAGACTCGCTACAAAACTAAAAAGTCGTAACCGACATCGACCTTCACAAAGAGAATCAGTGATGCTTCGCCCTTATTGTACTACCTCATAAAGTCTAAATTAAAAAAGTGCTTCTAGTTACGCTTACGATGTTCTAGTTTTGAGTGATATAATAGCCCCGTTGCGCTAGAGAGTGCATTTATGGCGTCGGTCTCGCGTTGCCAACCTTTTGCGTTAGTTTTTTTAATGTGTAATTTAACTGTTAAGTGTTTAACTCTTCGCTTGTTACTAGGTGCCACGCCTTTGTAACGTACTTTGGTTAACTCGAGAAATTGTTTCGTAATTACGACAAAAAACTATAGTCTTAAATGACTCTGTAATGTTATTTTGTAATTTCAAATTGTTAGTTAATTCGTGCTATATTTTGCGCAAATAATTGTTAGTAAATCATCAATTTTTGTATTAAACAAAGCAATAATATTCTTAAAATATATTGTTAGTAGGTAAAAGTACATTATGAAACCGAGATTTTAATCAAGCGACAAAGATTTTTGATATAAAATGTCACCTAGAAACAGTAGCTTTAGAATAAAGGTGAAAGTCCTATCAGGGCCGCCCCAGAAAAAGGTTGGCGATCCCTTTCCCCATCCGCGAACACGCTTAGTAACAAGCGAATGAAAGCATACAGACAACTACATTGGATTATAAACCTTATCGCTCTCAGATAAGGTTTATTTTCCAATATAAAGCAATCTGTTATTGATCCAAGCTCCAGCGAAAAAGTTTACACTTATCGCTTACAAACGATACATGTACTATTTTATTAATTGGCTCAAAATATACAATTATGTGATCTATTCCGTACGCATTATAGTTTAATTTGGGATGGATTGTTCGTTTTTCTCTAGTTTTTGATGACGCTAAGACGCTTTGACAAGAACAAAGGAGAATAGTGTTTTAGAGTAATTAATTTTGTTCTTAGTTTTCTGACGTAACGTTGTGTTGACGTTGTTGTGACGTGGTTATTTTACTAATATTGTAAATGCAAAAGTTTGGATGGATGGATGTCTGAAAGAACATATAGGCTACTCGCTTTGGTTTTTTAATTCCACGTAAACGAAGTCGCGGGCGAAAGCTATACATCATAGAGCCAATGTTTAGATAGATTGATGGATGTTTGTTAGAGTTTGTAGCCTAAACAGCTGAACAGATTTCGATGAAATTTGGTACAGATGTAGAGGATAGTCTGGAAGAACACATAGACATACTTTTTAATATCACGCGTGCGGAGTCGCGGGCGAAAGCTAGTGAAATATTTAAAACAATCGATTCTTAGTTACAATAGCTTGTTATAAACTGAGGTACATTGGTTTTAATTCTCTTGTTAAACCACGGATTAAAAAGATTTATGTTCGAGCCTTATACGCGTTAGTAACTAGGTAATAAAAATGTAATGAATTACTTAGTTTTGAGGACAAGTTGAAGAAACGTTTGTGTTTTTTTATTATTAGATGAGTGCTAAGATTTTAACATCCTCTTTTCACCCTCCGAATGGAACTAATACATTTCAAATACTTTAATTTCAACACAACGATATTAGGTAAAAAGAGCAAAGAATGGCGGCCATTTTAGTTTCCACTTTTTAGTATTTTCAGAAAAGTGACAATGTAAGAAATATTATTTTACGATAAATACTAGAAACGTTTTAAAACGCAATTTATATAATAAACTCCATTATATGTTTGTCTGTCCAATTTGTCTGTCTTTTCAGTGAAAAAAAATATTAAAATAAAACGCAAACTCCCAGAAATTCGATGAATAAACTTTGGAGGAACATCATTACTTAAGTCGGGCCGTAACTTGGACTTATCTCGCGTTATCATAGCAAGCGTCTAACTTATTCTGCAAAATGATGCGCTTTGACGCCTCCTGCCAGCCCCTAAACATACCGACTTACTCTCTAAGGAAAGTACTTCCTTACTCTGATACAAACATACTTTGAAACCAATATGAAACAAGTAGACCTTAATACCAAAGAGTAGAAGTCATATTCCTTTAATTTGAAACTTTCTAACTGCAACATAATCTTTGTCATTTCTTCAACCCAATCTTACGCTCAATGTCACTTTATCGTCATAATGTAGATTGGGGTGTGAGCGAGAGCACACGTGTTAGAGCGAGAGGTTGTATGAAGTGAGTCGAAGCGATTTCTTCATGTCATAGAATACGTTACGGAAGATCGCCGTCGCAGATGGCAACGGCTATTTGTATGTAGATCACAGCGATGTATAGGATACCGAGCATGTTCATTTGGTAAACTTTTTATATACTCGAAAGAGGTTTAAATAAACTAGTTTAGGAACTCTTTGGAATATACAAGCGTAAGTCGAGACAGATCGTGTTTTGTAGATATAAACTTACATTTCTATTATATGTTTACTCTGTGATTGAATACGTAATA